TTGGTGACATGAATGACTTGAGGGTCATCGTGCCCTTAGGGCATGAGACTTGCTCATAACATCAGTCACTTGTTCTGTCTTGACAAGATTCAGTTTTTTACAGGCCGCCATAGTACAAATATTGCTTTGTGTGGCGTTAGCCCTACGACTTGAGCATGGGTGAGTGAGTGAGTTAGTTTTACGCCGTTTTTAGCAATATTCCAGCAATGGGCACGGGAAATGGGTTTGACACATTGTACCCATTTAAGGAATCGAACCCGGGTCTTCGGCGTGACGAGCGAACGCTTTAATCTCTTGGCTACCCCACCGCCCCTACTAAAGCACGGGAGTTACGATCACTTTGAGGAACGGGGCCCAGGTCGGTTAAGTTGATTTCTTCGCGTTTTTGAAAATCAGGAACACTTCCAAAGTATTTAGATCATTAAACACAGTGCAGTTGTTATTGCCATGTTTCCTCTTTTGAGCTTCTCGTAAATGCTTCCGTTATGAAATAAACAATGAACCTCGTGTTACGAATTGTGGATTTGAAATACGTTTACATAAAACGGAATACATTGTTCAGCCTATTTCTTAGCTTCAAAAACATCGCATGCAGATGCAGCAATTTTATAATTAAACTGTAATGACAGTGCGAAAGATTAAAAATTATTCACTTGTTACGTTTCCTGAAGATTTAAAAAAAAAAATACATTCTAAACACACGACTAAAAGCCAAATATTCATCGAAAATTCCGCAACCGCCGTACTGAAAAATACTTGAATGAAACTATATTTCAAGATTACGTTTAATTATCACTCGCTGTCTCCGTATGCCGGCTTGTATGTGGCGAGCGTTTGATGTACAGAGCTGTAAAAAACGTGTTGCCTTCAAAGAGTATATTTAAGTACCAACTGTTTATACCCTATTCAGTCATGAGAGAAATGAATGCTTTCAAGAAGATTATTCATTTGGAAGCGTTACTAAACGCGTACTTCGTTGATTGTTTTCAACTGGGTTTGGATTGTTCATAAAGACGTTATTGCTTTGTCAATATTATGGTGAACACCTGCAGGCACTGTGGGAGTGTTGCCGACCGAGGCGATCATCAACCTCAAATATCCGTATTCCCGGGACAGACAAAACCGGGTTTTGGAGTAGCAAGCAAGTGATAAATGAGTGAGTATGGTTTTAAGCCGCTTTTAGCAATATTCCAGAAATAGTGAGTGAGTGGGTATGGTTTTAGTGCAATATTCCAGAGTGAGTGAGTATGGTTTTACGCCGCTTTAGCAATAGCAATATTCCAGATATAGTTTTGACATGGTTTTACGCCGCTTTTAGCAATATTCCAGCAAAGGTAAGTGAGTGAGCGCCAAACTCCACACTAGTATAGTTTTACGAAGCTTATAGGCGCTAGAAGATTATAGTCATATGACTTTTTTTTCCAGCAATATTCCAGCAATATCACCAGATATGGCCTTCACATACTGTACCCATGATCTTCAGCGTGATGAGCGGACGCTTTAACCATTAAGCTACCCCACCGCCCTTATTCCAGCAACATCACGGCGGGGGACACCAGAAATGTGCTTCACACATTGTACCCATGTGGGCAATCGAACCCGAGTCTTCGGCGTGAGGAGTGGACGTTTTAAGCACTAGGCTATCTCAGATTCAAAGAATATCAGTTATTTAAAGGTCACGTGGTTAACTATTGGTTATAAAGACCTGCCCAGCCTTTGGAGTTCCTATTCTGACCCGGTATACCCACCATGCATAGGGGTTATGCGTTCGATCCTCGTCAATTAGTAAGGTTCCATTAAATTGTCAGCCACCTTTTGGCGTGCACTGTGCATAGTGCTCGATTGTCACAACCTCCTGTAGAGACAATGAACCGTTTTCAGTGAGTGAGTGAGTTTAGTTTTACGCCTCACTCCGCAATATTTGCCACCTTTTGGCGTGCACTGTGCATAGTGCTCGATTGTCACAACCTCCTGTAGAGACAATGAACCGTTTTCAGTGAGTGAGTGAGTTTAGTTTTACGCCTCACTCCGCAATATTCAAGCTATATATATATATATATGGCGGTAGTCTGTAAATAATCGAGTCTGGACCAGATAACCCAGTGATCAACAGCATGAGCATCGATCTACACAATTGAGATACGATGACATGTGTCAACCAAGCCTAACCACCCGATCCCATTAGTCGCCTCTTACGACAAGCATGGGTTACTGAAGATCACTTCAAACAAACAAACATCAGACGCGATTTTAACCGTCCAGTCTAAGCAAAGGGTGTCAGCTTTTTTAAACGATACATTTCTGTATAACTTCGATTAGATATTTAGATCTCATCTAACGAAAACGCCACCGAAAAAAACAACCTTGTTGGAACGCCCTTACGTGTAGATGCCATGACGCGCGGAAACAACAAGGGTGGGAAATTATACACGCCTATATAATAGCATGACTTTATGTTTTTGCATTCGGAACTCCCCATTTTCATTCACTTTCGAAATTTATTAACCAGACAGATACTCCGCTCCCTCGTACCGAAAATCTAGAAGCATTACCGGTAATTGATGATTGAGGTGTCGTCAGATCTACAAGAAGAGGGATATCGTATCGAAGTGAAAGATCTGATATGTATTAGATTGATTCCAAAGAGGCTATTGCCACCCATTGTTCTGCACAACGCTTTGCAGGTAAGGAACTGTGGGTACGCTATGACAGTCGCCCTATACCCGATTATATATGAAGTATATGTAATCTGTTTCTACCTTCAAAACACATTCGACCGCCTCCGTGGTGTAGTGGTTAGAGCGTCCGCCCGGAGAGCGGAAGGTCGCGGGTTCGATCCCCGACCGCGTCACACCAAAAGACGTTAAAATATGGTACTTGTTGGTCCCTGCCTGGCGCTCGGCATTAATGGGTACAACAAGGACTGGTCAGCTCGGAGTCAGTATAATGTGTCTGAGTGGGGTATTCATGCTTCACTGCGGCGTGGTATCTCAGTGGGCTAGGACTATAAAACCAGCTTCAGTCTGGGCTAGTAAAAGCAGCCGCACATACACATACACACGCATGTACGTCATCATATGAGCGAAATATTCTCAAGCACGACGTTATACCCAATTTCACCTCACCTTATAACACATTCCCTTTGTAAGAATCTGACGACGCCCTGGGCCATGACGATCATCAGAAATAATCTTATTCCACAAACAAACAAACAATGACAGGCTTTTGATAATCTGTAAACAAATATCATGCCAATATTTAGAACAAAATGTGCAAATACCTCAAAGGTACATGAGACATGTATGCAAATACGTGGAGACAATTATGGTTTGAATGTTACGAGAAAGCTATAGACTCATGTGCAAACGGTGCATTGGGTGAGGTTAATGTTATGATCATACATAGGTTCATTATATCTGAAACATCAATGATATATAATGATATTATATAAATAATAAGAAGAAACGATTAGTCGATGTTTTAAAACTTGGAGGTGGGGGAACATAACATAACCCAACATATTTTCTTTTCCTGGCTAGCTGTGATAAATTCCTTGTAATATCACCTTAGTTTGTGTAAAGAATGCAGTAATTTTGCTCAACCCCGGGTTTTTCAAAATTTGAATTTATGTCTATAATAATTTACAGACTACAACCCCATAGGTTTGTTTCTTCGGTATACGTCTAAATACCAATGCAAAACTTGTGCTAAGAATTAAGTTATTCTTATCTCATCAGTTTAATCTATTTTGAGTTTAAAAAATAACCCACAAAAATCTTAAAACCAATCCAGTTTACCTTCTTACTTTAAAAAAGAGAGCAGTTGTGCACGTAAAATATTCTTAATACTGAAAGCCATTAAAAATGCAATTCGACATTCATACTTTCTTTACTCACACTAATTTCAACATATATAAACCTAACTGGCAGATATGTTTGAAGTGAACATCTGTGAAGAATTTCATCTGAAAATGTCCAGTCAACAGCAACATCAGTGACGCAGCAACGACATCACACAAAAGATGGGTCACTTGCAGTCAATATCGTGTGTGTCCACCGTGCGCTGCAAGACATGCTCGCAGTCTTTGGGGCATTGAAAGACACACATTTCTCAGGAACAGCTGTTGGATGGTCTGCAGCCTCTGATGGTCTGTGGTCTGATCATGACGTCACCCCCCTCCAAAACGATCATGTTCAAGGACACAGTTTGGCGCAAGTCTTTTCCTTTACGTCGATAAATCTGTTGACGTCCATCTGCAAAGGATTAGTTAAACCTGGATTCATCTGAAAAAATGACATCTGGCCATGTCCTGTTGCCAAGATTGGCCCCATTTGCTGCCCATCGCTGTCTGGCAAGTCTGTGGCGATGCAATAAGGTTTGACCACGGTACGGGTGACGACACCGGATGTTGAAGGCAGCAAGGCGTCCTTGCACCTTTTGGACGCTGAAATGACGTTGACTTGTCCCAATTGTCCTCCTTGCCTAATCATCAGCTGTTTGGAACCGATTTCGCAAGTGTGAAACTCGGATATTGCGGTTTTGTCGAGCTGTTATCACAGGTGGTGCACCAGGTCGCGGACGATCAGCAACACTTCCGGTAGCCCGAAAACGTTGTCTGAGTCGACTTACAGTGGATGGATGCACATTTAAGTGCCTGGCAATCATCACATCTGAAGCACCTTGGCTGACCATACCGATAACCTGATTCCTTTCGTCTTGTGTCAAGTGTGCCTTTTTTCTCAAAGTGATTGAGCTCCACAATTCATTGTGCTTTTACAGGGCCTGGGTGCAGGTAATGCATGTGCACAACGTGTGGCATGAATGTGGTTGTGTTTACGACAAACGTTAAAGGTTCAGTTTTAAGTATCAAAGTTCATGTGAGAGGAATGCTCCGAGACTCGAACTCGAAATGGGCCAGAATAACAGCCTTTTATCCCTACATCCTCTGTATCGCAGGAAAAAATCTTCAATAGAACTTTTGTAAGCTTCAGGACAACAAATACCAATTGCGTTTTTAATGGCTTTCAGTATATAAACATTTGCCAGCCATCTTGGACTTTTCACGATTGACTTATATACAGTATATTTCAAACTAGATCCAATCGTTATACTCACATGTGGTATCTAATGGATATTAAAACACAAATGGCTTTCTTTCATGAAAACCTGTGATTTTGTTTTGACAGTTATATAAACGTTCAATTTAATTCACAGGATTCAATAAAGTTATTACGTCCACTAAGCATACTGAAGTCTTTTATTTGTTTCGATGAAAGCAAGTCATATGTGTTTATATGATACCATACGAACTACAGGTAAACATCAGATGTTTTAGATTTTTCTAGGCAAATGCTGATTTTGTGTTATTCTGTTGAGCTCTAGTCTTCTTTTCTGGCCTTCCACAATCAGTAAAATGGAAAAGATGGCCTCTGGTTCTTCTTGAATAAGATGCATACAGTACATCGGCTGTGGTGACGGAACAGAACGATATGATCGCCAGAAAACCGAAGAGCGGTGGACGGGGCAAAGCGACCACCAGGGCAAATTTCAACATGTCCATAAGCATGTTGATTGACGACTGTACTCCGTTAACCACGCCCCTTTCGGATTCTGCCACGGTTTCAAGAAACAGCTGGGTAATTGTTAAGTCCGCCATCCACACCCCTGTGGACAAAATGATTCACCTTTAAAAACACATACTTGGATAGATTTGTGTGGATGATGTTTGGGCAGTTATTCTTGCACTAGAAGGTTAATGGAAGCAAAGAAACAGCAAGAATTATATAATCATATCAGGTTTTGGAACCCATGGCCATAGCATTCTGGCACGACCAAGCGACTCAACTCTGCATACAACTCTGATCATTAGGGTGGCAGGTTAAGACTTGATTTGGATTTTACGCCACTTTCATTATTTTGTTCAATGTGAAGGCAGGGTACCCAGAAATTGGCCTCACAACATTGTACACATGTGCGGAATCGAACCCGGGTTTCGACGTGTCGAGAGAGCGCCTTAACAATAGGCTACCCTCCCACCCTGTCCGGATAAGAACATGGAACTGTACCCAAGAAAAACATTCGCCAATAGATTAGAGCGTACATCATCACAATTAAATCCATTAAAGGTGAGGTGAGGTGAAATTGGGTTTAACGTCGTGCTGGAGAATATTTCGCTCATATGACGACATGCATGCGTGTGTATGTGTATGTGCGGCTGCTTGTACTAGCCCAGACTGAAGCTGGTTTTATAGTGCTAGCTCACTGAGATACCACGCCGCAGTGAAGCATGAATACCCCACTCAGACACAGTATACTGACTCCGAGCCGACCAGTCCTTGTTGTATCCAATAATGCCGAGCGCCAGGCAGGGACCAACAAGTACCATATTTTAACGTCTTTTGGTATGACGCGGTCGGGGATCGAACCCGCGACCTTCCGCTCTCCGGGCGGACGCTCTAACCACTACACCACGGAGGCGGCCAAATCCATTAAAGAATTATCCGAGTCTTTAAGAACGAATTCTACTTTTACAAGCAGCTTTAACCAAATATATTCTCCTTTTTACAAAATTTTAAATAAACGGCTTACCAAATCTGTTTCCAATGATACCAGTCATAAACACACAGATGGAGATGATTGACATTGGCGCCGATTCCTTCCCTTGACAGACACCCTCCTGTCCATCACCGGTGACGTTGAACAACCCCGCCCCCAGCGGAACGGAAGTGTTGACGTAGGTGCAGTTGTCGATCTTGGTAAGGTCATCTGGGGACCTTGACCAGTAGTAAGGGTCAAAGGGACTACCGGGCAGCATGATAGAAAGTACACACAGTGTTAAGAAGATCCACTGAGCTCCTAGGGCAACGAGTCCAGTTCTAACGATGCCAATTCGACGTCTGATCACTGGGTAGGCCATGGTACCGAAGACGCCATTAAGGGCTGCCCCGCCCATCAGTAGCCCCAGGGTGGACTCGGACACGCCCTGTGTGTATATGTAACCTGCGGGATATTCAATTCAATTCTTTTATTTCAGTTTGTTAGCCATCGGCCCATGTACAATACATACACAAAAGAGTACAATTTTGTAGAATAGGAGAAACTTTACAAAGTAATGTATTTAAATGGCTAAAGATGTAACATTCTATTTCTATAAGCAAGAGCTTCTTTGATGTAATTCGAACAATTTACAAAGGTATGTCTACAATTATTAGTTAATATATTATAATTAGCGACAAAATTTAGCGACTATTTACAGGAATATATCTATCTCTAATTACATTGTTATCATTACATTCACACAAAAAATGTATAACATTTTCATTCACCCCATCTTCACACATTCTACGATACATATCTCCATTCACACCTCTTATATTACACCGTGAAGGGAGGAAACTTAATCTAAAAAAAGCAAATATTTCTTCTAACAGTGACTTGGTTGATAAAGTTTACACAGTATTCAACATTCAAAGGTCACTTAATTTGTGATATAAATACTGTTAAGTCAGAATCGGACATGGGGACATTGCTGTAATGTTGATGCCGCCACACCTATACTACCTTGTACACACGACCTTCCGCCATTACCTAAATACATACGGCATGTTGTAGTAGTGACGTTGCATAGTTTAAGTCAGCTAAGGAGAGGAAGCCTCAATGTGCATGAACTCTGTGATAGTGAGGCAATTTGTAAATGATCGCAAGGCTATGATTGGAACACGAGGAATAGTGAATATGTTATCTGGGCGCTCATTGGTCCCAGCTGATTGTCTAGGCCGGGTTTGATTCGTTGGTTAAAAATACAAACGCGGCGACACTTATTCACGGCATTCGTGACCAACTCGTGTTATTCCGGGACAAGCCGAATAGCTTCTTGGAGGTTACGGAAAGGGGCGAGTGGTGACGAATGTTATTCACGGGTAATTGAAGAACGTAGCGGTGACAAACCCACGACTGGTGGTGTAACGTCGTAACGTAAACAGTGATTAATCGAGCCATTTCATGTTAATTAACCAAACCTCAGAGAACGAACGCGTTTACGAGAAGTAGGCGGTGCACGGCAATGAGCAAGCCCATTTGGTTTGTGAAAGGTAGAACAGATGTAGGCTAGTGCACGTGCATTTCATGACGATGAAATTGATTCCACGCGTAGCTGCACACGCCTTGCGCCTTGCTTCACCCATCACACTGCACATGATCGCGGACAACCTCGGGCCCCTTCGCTAATAATGGCAAGCGCCAGTGGGCGGCACTCATACATGCTAATACGGGTCAATTGTCAGGTCGGTGCTCAACTTATCCTTGTTTGCCAGTAGCACCTCGGGAAACACTGAAATAGCCTTGAGATATTTCATGATTTTAGCTCTAGTCCGTGTAAACCCCGCCATAAAGTACAGAGACGTGCAAAAAGTATTCGGACACTGGACGTAATTCCCATAGACTTACATGTTAATTGAGTGTAGCATAAATATTTTTCTTGAATTTAATTTTCGTAAGATCCAAGTCAACTTTTGCACATTTGTGAGGAATCATCTTACCTACAATCACTTAATTTCTGTTTAATTTTCCACTGCTTATTTATCAAATGGCAGCAATGTAATCAACATGTGTATAGTGCCGTGAACTCCTTTAACATGGCGGCCTACGGGATTGTGCATCCTACCTACAATCACATAATTTCTGTTTAATTTTCCACTGCATATTTATCAAATGGCAACAATGTAATCAACATGTGTATAGTGCCGTGAACTCCTTTAACATGGCGGCCTATGGGATTGTGCATTGTGGAACCATACGTAAGTTGATAAATGTGATGTCATTAGTTAAATAGTGGTCGGAGAATAGAACTGAAATTATGTGCGCAGAGCAGAGATGATTTCAAATTTGCCTGTCAAATTTTACAAAGATCCATCCTAAACTCACTTCATAAAATGTATTTATGCTACACTGAAATAACATCCCAGATATCATTCGGACGTTGGCCCAATGTTGGCAATGTTGGCAAAACCTTTGCCAACGTTGGGCCAACGTCTGAATGCTATCTGGGATGTAAGTGTATGGAAATGACGTCAAGTGTCCAAAAACGTTTTGCACGACTCTGTAGTTCATATATCACGACGGCATTCGGCCCGTCTAAACCCAATACTATCTCGGTCTGCACTGGCAGGTATCCATGTTGGAACTGTGTACCTGTCTATTTTAGGACATAACCTGACAATTTTAGGACATCCTGTTAAGTTTATTTAAATAACTACCGTAGTGAGGGTGATTAAACGGCTTACACCGCGAGGGCATACTTATTTAATACGCGTGTAATGTATTAGGCATGATGAAGATTATCAAAATAAGTACACTTTTATTGTTTTTAAATAGAAATAATTGCCCTAGGGCAGTTAATCAGTTATGCTAATAAAACACTTCCAAGAACAATGGACATAACTTTCCCTAGTGGTTTAACCACAGGAAACGTCTCGAAAACTGCCATGAGAATGGCCACGGGATCCTCTGGGAGAAGCATCAGTTGCTGGGTCCTACTTCAGAGAACCAGTGAAGATTCGGACTAGAATTGGTCTTCAGCAATACATGCTTGTCGTGAGAGATGACTGGCGGGATATCCCAATTGCGTACATCGATACTGACTGACTGACTGACGAGTTGGTTTTACGCCGCTTTTAGCAATATTCCAGCAACATCACGGCGGGGGATACCAGAAATGGGCTTCACACAATGTACCCATGTGGGTATTCGAACTCGGGTCTTCGGCGTGACGAACCAACGCTTTAACCACTAGGCTACCCCACCGCCCTACATCGATACTCATGATGTTGATCACTGGATTGTCTGGTACAGACTCGATTATTTACAGACCGCCGCCATATTACTGGAATATTGTTGAGTGCGGCGTAAAACAACAAACAAACCAAAGCAAACATTCGAACAAACTTAATGAGTCGGGTGGTCAGACCTGAGGGTCATCGTGCCCTTATGGCATTACACTTGCTCATAGCATCAGTCACTGATTCTGCCTTGACAAGAATCGGGTATATGCAGGCCGCCATAGTACATCTGAAATATTGCAAGAAACAGTCAAAGCAGATCTTGCAACAGGACATGCTACGGTGTACCCTTGGATATGGAGTCTTGTATGGCGGAGATGTGTTGTCAAGAATATGAACATCGTACGGGTAGTTAATACGGGTACGCTGTGGGCTCATTACGAACTTTAGCGAAGTCAGAAAATCCTACCTACCTACTGTGACCCCGTCAAAGCCTAGAACAGTCAAATAGAGGAACCCCAGCGCCAAGCCGGCCCGGAAGACGTCGTATCTCTTGTAGGTCCGCATCCCTCTGTACATCACTATGAAGCTGTAGAAGAAGCGGCTTAAGCAGCTGGAGTCTCCATCATTAACGTCAATCTCCGCTTCAGCAAGTGGTGGCGTGGCTGGGTCATCCAACGCCTTTGAGTTTTCTGACACCAGAGGATCTTTACAGTTCAGTTGAGGGTAGGCTGTGACGTCGGCCAACCTTATATGGCTGTCTTCATGGATAGTTGTGGAACCGAGGCCTGACGATTGAAATTATTGTTTACATTTTTCTCTATATATGATTCAGTTACAATGATACCTCAACAGTACGGAATCCGTTAATATGGAAACATCGTATTCTGGCCACTAAATTCTGGAAACGCATAATAATAACTGTCTTACTTTGTCTTACTTTCCACAAACTCGTTCATCCGGAATAATTGTTTATAGGGACGATTTCATCTCAAACTGTACAGTCTGGCTTAACGATTGTCATTGCATATGACGTTCTAATTTGGAAACGTGGACAGAATTGAATTTTCCGAGGAGGAGCGAGACACCTGTTTTAACATAATTTGGGACTGAAAACCAATTGTCGACTGCAATTAAACTGTATTTTCTAAATACGTTAATCATGATTCGAAGGTAGTTCAGATGACACACGAACAGGTGTTACACTTAAAATGTGTATGTGAGTGTGTGTGCGTGTGTGTGCGCGTGCGTGCGCGCGCTTGTGTGTGTCTGAGTCTTTGTCGATAGATAGATAGGTTGATAGATAGATAGATAGATAGGTGGGTAGGTAGGTAGGTAGGTAGGCAGGCAGGCAGGCAGGCAGAGGCAGACAGAGAGACAGATAGATAGATAGATAGATAGATAGATAGATAGATAGGGTAGATAGGTAGGGGGTAGGTAGGCAGGCAGGCACCTGCAGGCAGGCAGGAGAGGATAGGTAGACAGACAGACAGACAGTGAGACAGATAGATAGATTACGTAAAGCATACACTTAATTATCCCATCAGACTATCGATTATACAACTAGACCAGTGGTCGAAAGTTCCAGGATATGCCTGAATATAGTTCGAATCCCGTCTTAGTTCCGATAATGAGCTCTGCTGCTTGTACTTTGTTCCGGGATATTCATCAAATGTGTAAACATTTCAACCTGCATGACTGAATCACAATCAAACTGTAACAAAACGACCATCACGACGTTCAGTAAAACTCTTTCCTGTCTACCTTTTCCTTTCCAGAGTTTCTTGTCCTTCCTGAGAGACGGCACAGTCTGGTACACCTTCCACATGAGATAGTAGCCGAAGAAGACGGAGACAGCATTCCACACCCCGATGAACACACCCGAGACCTTCAGTCCGAACTGAGTCATAATCTGACCCGTGACGATCGGAGCCAAGACCATAGTTCCTAGATCGATCCTTCTCAATGTTGCAGTCATACCTGAAATATACAAACATCAGATTTTATCGAAAATTGGAAATTTGTTCTATTAAGTGCTTGAACAAAATGACTATGCTTATTGCAATATGCTTTTATTTGTTTTATTTATTTTCACACATATTGAATTAAGAAAAATATCTGGTTTTGCATAAATCACAGATAATATCTAGTCTCCATATAGACTATCATCTAGTCACCGAAATGAACATATTTACAGAAAGAGTGGTTCCTAAATTATGTAAATAAAATATAATGAAAAGGAGCCTAGGGACTTCCTTCATTTTCTGAAACTATGGTAATCGGTTTTACTACATATTCTAGATTTGCGTGGGTTTTCTCGGATATATACTCATGCCAATAATGGTTGTCACCCCCCCCACCCCAACCCACACACATCTCACACGCCCACCTCCACACCCACTCTCCAATTAAAAAATTGAAGGGGGTGACAACCATTATTGGCATGAGTATATTTGTTTCGGGTCTGTATGACAGACTTGTCTCCATACAAAATTCCAATTATCGCCCCTTGCCGGAAGTACTTACAGCCATACACCTCTCTGGACATAATTACCAAAGGAAACCAACATTTTGACGTCGATGACCATGCAGACAATGTAGACAATGGGCTCATGGTATGTATAGAGTCATAATCAAACGGAGATGTGATTATTTAATACTGGTAACCGGCTGACGCTATTGCACTGATGATGTAAATACTTACTGGCCAACATGTCGCTGTCCCCACCACAGATCTCCACAACCCAGTCTCTCTCTATGGTAATCACACGTGCAACCTGGGCCAGATTACCCAGCACCGCGAACAGGATGATAACTCCGTAACAGAGATTCTGCTTCCAGCCCACCATTGGTTCGTCCGTTGAGTCTCTGTACCACAGATAGGCACAAACAGTCGCCACAGACAGGACAATGAACGTCTTCTGAAGGATCAGCGCTGTCTGGACGGCTGGGGAATATAGGACAGGCTGTTAGTGTATGAATGTTGTTTATCGCCGCATTCAGTAACATTCCAACTATATACATAACAGTGTTAAATATCGTTAGGTTGAGTTCGGATTCGATTTTAGAAGTGGCCCTAAGGCCATTGAATCGAGGTGCCTACACTCGGTGACCTGGTTGATTCCATGTCATTGTACCCCGACGACATAGCACGATGGTCATAATATTAATCACTGGATTGTCTGATTCAGAATCGGAATGTTCTCATGTAGCTGAGCCACGAACAAAATGATCGCGTCAAAATGATTATTGCTGTTTTTGTTGTGATTGATTATGATGATGATGATGATGATGATGATGATGATGATGATGATGTGGATTCTTTCGATATATCGATGGCTTGTTGTAGAGTTAAAATAAAAGTAAAGTATGACTCATTGGTATATCCCTTTGTTCGATGTCGAGACTAAATATAGCATTATATCCCAATGTGTCATGTCGAGTTACGACTGAGTATAACGTATTATCATATCGCAATGTGTGATGTCGAACTACGACTAAGTACAACGCGGTATTTAAATCCCACTGCGTGATGTCGAGTTACGACTGAGTTACGTATTTTTATATCGCAATGTGTTATGTCGAGTTACGATAGCGTATATTGCATTACTATATTGCACTGCGCGTATGATGTCGACTTAAGACATATATTATCACACAGCATTGTATAGTTTCGAGTTACGACAGAGCATTTATCCCAATGTGCGATGTCGAGTTACGACAGAGTTGTTAGCATCGCTGTGACCCTCTGTGTACTGTGTGTACCTCGAAGTCTCCCTGTCCTGTCCACCCAGTCTCCGATCAGCGCCCCTAGTAGTAGCACCGCTATGCCCACGCTCAGGCCGTAGATGGCCGTCAGTTGAAGGGACTCGGGCAGGATCTCCACCAGGAGCAGACCAGACCCGAATATCCACATATGATCTCCCTGAAAGTAGCAATAAAGTAATTGAGTGAATGAATATGATTTTACTCCACTTATAGCAATATTCCAGCAATATCATGGTGGGGGACCACATTGTAGCCATGTGGGGAATCGAACCCGGGTCTTCAGGGTGACGAGAGAACGCTTTAACCACTGGCAACCCCACCACCCTGGAACAACAGAGGACACTGGTAACATGTACCCACAAACAGTTTTAAAACGTTTCTCATCACCCTGTTGGTTTCTAATGAGAGATCCATTTGGGTTTTTTTTCTGATAAATCTATTTTCATGCCTGGAACCTTTTTCGGCGTCTGTCCTAAACCAGAAACGACAATAGTGAGTGAATATTGTTTTTCGCTGCTTTTAGCAATATTCCAAAATTGAGGCGGACAACAGAAATGGGATTTACACATGTGGCCATGTGGGGAACCGAACCCATTCCTTCGGTGTATCGAGCGAACGCATTAGCCACTAGGTTACCCCAATGCGACCGAGGATCGTACTTCCTCTTGAATAATTGTTTCTGTTTTTCAACGTAATAATTTCGTTGATAACTTGAACGCCGATTGAACAGTATATCAGTAATCCTACGGTCCGTCAGCTTGCAGAGAGGAGAAAATGTATGCAGGTCTCAGAGCTATATCACTCCAGCGCCTTCTTGACAAACCAAGAAACGTAATCATGGTGAATATGGGACTAGAACCCGCATCATAGGTTTCTGTCACGTCAAAGGGGCGTAACTCTGCACAGCGAATAACAGCACTTTTGACGACTGATCACCTGTGTCCAGACGTTTATACCTTGACTACAAACTAATTCAAAGATTAAGGTAAGCTCGTTTTAATCTACACTTCGCAAACTTATAGATGCCATGCGTGTATAACCATATAGACACTAAAATCTCACCCATGAAGACAGGAAATGGCTACTGTAGATATACATGTTAGTCGGGTGCACGCACCATCTCGGCCACCCTGAAAGAAATATAAAATGTATTGAACATCAAGGGAAGAAATTAACCAGTCTCGATTGTCCGCAGAAACATACTTGGCGTAAAAGGCAAAACACCGGATCACAGAAAATTAGTAATGGCTGTCCCGGAAAAGGGCCACCAGGGTACTTCATTATTGTGTTTGAACTTAACTGAAACAATTTGAGTTATGTAAGGTTCAGGGCGTGTTGTAATAATGTGTATAAAGATAGTTTTTGCATGGATTCCCCTGTATATTGGACTGAGCCGAGCATGTTTTTGACAGCAAAGCGATGACAAATTTTACTCATGAAGGTGAAAAGAACAAAAGAGAGCACGGGTACTTCGTCCTATCATTAGCTACAATATGCCATCACATCTTGCAGGAATACTCTGTCCCGTCTTAACCCACAATATACCATCTCAACTTGTACGAGTACTTTGTCCTATCATTAGCTACAATATACAATTTCCACTTGGAGAAATACTTCATCCCGTCTTAGTCCACAATATACCATATCCTTTTACAGGAATACTTCGTCCAATCATTAACCCACGATATACCGTCTCAACTTACACGAGTACTTTGTCCAATCATAAACTACAATACACCATCTCCTCTTACAGGAATATTTCGTCCTGATATTAATCCACAATATACCATCTCATCTTGTACAAGTACTTTGTCCTATCATTAGCTACAATCTACCATCTCCTCTTGCAGGAATAGTTCGTCCTGACATAAATCCGCAATATACCATCTCCTCGTTCAGGAATACTTTGTCCGGTCATTAATCCACAATATACCATCTCAACATGTACGAATACTTTGTCCTATCATTAATCCACAATATACCATCTCAACATGTACGAATACTTTGTCCTATCATTACTCCACAATACACCATCTCAACTTGTACGAGTATTTTGTCCTGTCATTAGCTACAATACACCATCTTAACTTGTACGAATACTTTGACCATCTCCTCTTGCAGGAATACGTCGTCCCGTCGTAATCCACAACATACCATCTCCTAAAACATATAACACTGCATCATTTATCTTTACCCCCAAATCAAGCTGACACATCGTGGTATAGCTGAAATATCTTTCAAGACCAAATTGACTCACTCACTTTCTATATAAGTTGACATGTGACGTCATGAAAACAAAGAAACTCTCATGGAACTTACAGCATTTGTTTGTGTCGGCCATACTTGCCCTCAGCTGTAACAGACTGCCAAATATTGCCCAATATTGCCAAAGGTTGCCACAAACGATGATACGCTGGCTGTTGTATCAGCGGATCTTGTCAACTGGCATAGTCGGTGTGAAGGGTTCTAGACAGAGTATGTTTTCACCCACACTGTATGAACGACGTCACAACTGTTTCTCTCAGGAACAAAACCAACCCGAATCAGTTGCTCTCTAATGTATTCATAACACATATTTATTACTGCCGATTCTGCATTCAGAATTTCTCCTGGAAACAGTACTCAATATCTATCCAACAATCATTTCAAACCATCTGTATAACACGGCAACTTTAACACACCAATATAAGTAATTATGATTTTATTTTCTTACAATCACATTGCTGCATAATTTTTACATATGATATTCATAGAAAATACATGATGTTATGATTGATATGTTATATGTTATGATATCAGTAAACAAAACGTGAATACAAATACCGATTGTTTACGATACGAAGCCAGGCTCTTTCAGCATAAAAAGGTTGATGATATTTTAACATATAGTTCTGTTTATGTTTAATATGTGGACCCTCGTACTGCAGGGGTCTTCCCATCCACCCAGCCCCGTTATGTGGACCCTCGTACTGCAGGGGTCTTCCCATCCACCCAGCCCGTTATGTGGACCCTCGTACTGCAGGGGTCTTCCCATCCACCCAGCCCCGTTATGTGGACCCTCGTACTGCAGGGGTCTTCCCATCCACCCAGCCCCGTTATGTGGACCCCTCGTACTGCAGGGGTCTTCCCATCCACCCAGCCCTGTTATGTGGGACCCTCGTACTGCAGGGGTCTTCCCATCCATCCACCAGCCCCGTTATGTGGACCCTCGTACTGCAGGGGTCTTCCCATCCACCCAGCCCCGTTATGTGGACCCTCGTACTGCAGGGGTCTTCCCATCCACCCAGCCCCGTTATGTGGACCCTCGTACTGCAGGGGTCTTCCCATCCACCCAGCCCCGTTATGTGGACCCTCGTACTGCAGGGGTCTTCCCATCCACCCAGCCCCGTTATGTGGACCCCTCGTACTGCAGGGGTCTTCCCATCCACCCAGCCCCGTTATGTGGACCCCTCGTACTGCAGGGGTCTTCCCATCCACCCAGCCCCGTTATGTGGACCCCTCGTACTGCAGGGGTCTTCCCATCCACCCAGCCCCGTTATGTGGACCCTCGTAGAGCAGGGGTCTTCCCATCCACCCAGCCCTTTGTATGGAGTTAATGAACCAGTCAAGCGTGATGAGCCCCTTAAACAACAGGTGTTGGGTCCAACTAGATTCCCATGAACAAGAGAATGCGTAGTTGATTGTAGCTCGACAATCTTTCTGGCAGCATCTTCAGTGAATAGACGTCGGTTTCTGGTTGTATCCTATATAATTCAAATATTGCCCTCCTCGTCCATTTGGAATGAAACGAGTTATGTTTGCAATCTGAGCATTCGCCATGGTTAAGTGACATTTCCTTCTATTGACATCATATAAGATGGTTTTGGTTTGTGTTCACTTTGGTAAATAAACAAAGTGATTTATGATTGCATGTGAACTGATACTCAAGATTGAAAGCAATCATACAAATATGATTAAGTGTTTTATTAACGAATGAGAACACACATGCTGTAATTTATTAGTGTTTCAATGCACAGATTGTTCCAAGTTCCAATGTATCCTGTATCAGATTTTAAATAATATCTTACCCACATATTCTCGCCATAAAATGGGATACTCTGAAAGCGATTTATGCAGCTATTGTCCTACAGAAAAGGAATATAAACTCTGTCAAAAAAGAAACGCAACCCCTGTATTTTAGAGATTTTGATCTGAAGTTTTAAGACAACACAGCATTTTTATTATTTAAGACAGAAGTCTGAAATTTGGCAGAATAATAACCAAGATGGGCATGTTTAAAATTGTCATTTCAAAAGTCATCTCACAGACACCAGTTTGTCACCAGGGGGGCGTCTTTCTCAGTATCTCGTATGAGCACCACGAGCTGCAATCACTGCACGGCATCTCCTGGACAAGAACGGATAAGACGCCGGATTCTTTCCTGGGGAATGGCTCTCCACTCCTCCTGCAGTGCAACGCCGAGCTGTTGCAGCGTCTGTGGCGGCGGCTGACGTTGACGTACGCGTCGACCCAGAGTATCCCACAGGTGTTCAATAGGGTTGAGGTCTGGTGATTTAGAGGGCTATGGCAAGACATTGACGTTGGAATTCTGCAGAAATTTCATTGTTGCACGTGCAGTATGAGGCCGGGCGTTGTCTGGTTGAAAAATCTGTGTCTGTTGGTCAATAATCGGGAGAAGGTGAGGCTGTAATACGTGGTTGATGTAACGTTGGGCTGTCAGGTTCCCTTCAACGATCACCAAGTCTGATTTCTGGTTGTATGAGATGGATCCCCAAACCATAACGCTTTCTCCGCCAAATCTGTCCCCTGTCGGACGCAGATGGGCGCAAAACGTTCATGACGTCTCCTATACACGTTTTCTTCCGTCGTGATGTTGCAAAAGAAAACGGGATTCATCAGAAAACCAGATGCGCCTCCAGTTTTGTAAAGTCCATATCCTTACGTTGTTGCACCACCTGAGTCGTCGGCGGAGATGTAGGGGGCGTAGTACAGGTCCAATAACTGGTCTACAGGCACGTAAACCCGCTTCTTTCAGACGGTTCCTAATCGTTTGAGCTGACACTCTCCTCAAACCTGGTATTTGTGTGGCAGTCACGGTTGGTAGGGCATGCCGATTACGCAGGTGATGGACCCGGATGTACCGATCTTGAAGGGGGGTCGTGATTCTTGGCCTTCCACTTCTCGGGCGATCGTTGGTCAAATTGAAGTTGTTGTAGCGGCTCCAAAGTCGGGATATCGTTGTTTTGTGAACATTTAGGTGCCGTGCAACAGTTCCAAAACTTTCTCCGGCTTGAACACGACCAATGGCGATATTTCGGTCGGCAGCACTCAATCGTGGCATTTTTAACACAGCTTTTGCGACAAATGAATGAATATAATACGAAAGCACATGGGCTTTTATACACCCCTACATTAACTGCCATTTTCATGATTTGCATGTGTTTTTTTTGTGCGAAGTCACCATGAGGGTCATTTCATGCGTTGTGACGGAATAAGCAATAAAATACACTTATGCGTACAAATGCAGTTGTTTGGATGGTAATCTTCATTAATTACGTGTATAATTTCAATACATTCGAATAAAATTTAGTTTGGAAGCAATAACTTCATTCAAACGAATTTTTCATATCTGAGGACAGGGGTTGCGTTTCTTTTTTTACAGACAGAGTTTATATTCCATTTGTTCTGGGAATGCCATTATATACGCTCTGTTTGGAATGATTTGAAAAAATGGCTGTTATCAGAAGGTCAGATAAATGTAAATATATCAAAAGATATAGTAACCCACTTAACATCATCACATAAATAACACAACATTATATATTCACCAGAAGATCACAAAAGAAAACGCCAGAATTCAAAGAAATCCAAAGAGAGCTAAAAATTATAACTGACTATATTATAGACTAACTAAATATTCATGTATCGACATGTTTTATAAGTACTGGTGAAGTTGCCATTTTTTTGTTAGTAATTATGAATTATAATGAGTATGCGCTACTGTGAAAATGCAACAAGAATAACAAAATTATATATTTAAAAAATGATTAAGTATTCACCAATCAAAACTAATTGTTGTTAATGTTCATTAATTGAACTGTTATCAGTGATCTCACCTGCTACAGTTTTACAGGCTTTCATTCATAAACTTGAGTACTAATTCTTACAAACAGTATATTAATAGTTAAGTGATAGGTCTAATTTGTTTAGTATACAGATGAAGTCCTTGTTGTGATCACTTTTTAACATCCTCAAAGTAGGGATTAAAGGTTTATGGATATAATTTCACAGGTAACTTACTACCCCTACACCGTGGCTGGCCAATCTAATCCTAATACCCAAAAGATAGGATTAATTAACATCGGGCTAAGTGAATAACCCATACTGCATAAAGGGCGGTGGGTACAGCAATCCTCGTCATGCCGAAGACACGGGTTCGATTCCCCTCATCAGTACAATGTGTGAAGCCATGTCTTGTTTTCCCAGCCGTGATATTGTTGGAATATTACTAAAATTGGCGTAAAACTCACTCACTCAGTCATGTATAAAACAATGTCTAGACACTAAGCAGCATGTAGTGTGTGTTATCTCCCATTTGACAGACACCCATTTGACAGACACCCAATTGGCAGACACTAAACTAGAAGGTTAATTGGAGTAACACCTACGGGTATAATGGAACAGTCCACTGTCCAGTGAGTAGAGCAGGGTGAGCCTGAAACAGGTTCGTTACTGAGAAGTTTGATTGTGGGTAAATAGAACTTTGTTGTGATTAAATGATAAATCATATCTCTTCTCAAAATTGATTTTACTATCAATTACTATCGAATATAAAAACAGGTTTGTCACTGAGAGGTTTGATTGTGTTTGTTGATAGAAAAGCCCCCCTCCCAATAATAGCATATGTAAAACAGAAGTTAATTGAGAAAACGTTTTGTTGGAGAGATATAGATATGTACATATTTGAAAACATTCTGATTTGTAGTAAATGAGACACCTGCATTGCCATGTAAGATACGATTAATACCAATCAGTGTTCTAATTTTAACAATACTTTCTAAAGATTGTAACAGTTTATGTCTTTGAGTAGTATACAATGGACATTCAAGGAATGCAAAACATTCTCACATCCATGGCCACATTGACATGATGCGTCATATTTTAAATATTTATTCTAAATAAATCGTAATTAAGTGCACTCGTCATATATCTTAATATTGTGTGCAAAACATATAACTTCTTTATTCCATATGAATAATATTTAGGTTCACATTTGTCTTTATTTGATTTATATGATACCACAGTGTTGCAATTTCTAATAGATAAGCTAATGTTTTCAACATAATGATGCCGACTCCCTTTAGACTAGAAATATTTATGAAAATAAACTTTTCAAATTACTGTCTTTTCATCCATCTTTCAAAATAAATAATATAGCTTCAGTTTGTTCTTGTGTTTTTATTTGGACTATTCCATTATAATGTGTAGGTAACAGGTAGTAGATAATCTGTTCACTGAACCGTAAATGTTGTTGTTTTAAGGTGTCTGCGAACTGGCTGTCTGCGTAATGGCTGTCACAACTCGACAAGTTGGGAGGGTCAGGCTCACTTGCCTTGGTTGATCCAACATGTGTACCAAGAGAGCCCGGGACGTTGCTCAGAGTAAGTGTAGTCAATTTGTTTGTCTAGTACATATTAAATCATTTACAGATGGACGTCATATAATGTATATGAATATCGAATATTACAGAGAGTGGCAGAAAGCAACAAATATAATGTTTACTCTCTCTCTCTCTCTCTCTCTCTCTCTCTCTCTCTCTCTCTCTCTCTCTCTCTCTCTCTCTCTCTCTCTCTCTCTCTCTCTCTCTCTGTCTCTCTCTCTCTGTATCTCTCTCTCTCTCTCTCTCTCTCTCTCTCGATCGATCGATCGATCGATCGATCGAACTAGAACTAGAACTAGTAATTTAATCTAAAACAGTTTAACTATAGAAGACGATACAATATAAAACCTGGCTGTAGATCGCCAACAACTGAAGGTAGGGCCCTGGGACTTACAGTACTTTTGCTACATGCATGGACCCCAGCAGGATTTACACCATCCCTTCTGCCGCAGGAAAATTTAGCCTATCAAAATAGGCGTATCACAGCTGTGTTTGTTGGTGATCACTCTCTGTGTGGTATTACAATGGATATGTAATGAAGTGAACTTTCCGTGTAATGGGGCGCAACGAGCGTATAATTACCTACCTTGTCTAACTATAAAACCATTACTGACTGTATATACTGTGGTATCAATAATAATAATGAATATATCCTCATCATGATACAGTTTCACTCTAAGTTGGTTGATACAGATGTGTTATAACAGAACGTGGGTGGTACATGCGCACAAAATCATAATGCACATAAAGCGGCATTTATTCGAGTAGCCACGCGTGACTTTATCAAATAACTACGTAGAACCCTAGGGTAACTGCGTAAAGTTCAAAGATGAGAAACATGCTATTTTACCTAGGTACAAAACACTCATATTACTCTCCGCTTGAGGGGTGGTGGGGTAGCCTAGTGGTTCGCTCGTCACGCCGAAGACCCGGGTTCAATTCCCCACATGGGTGCAATGCGTGAAGCCCATTTCTGGTGTCCCCTGCCGTGATATTGCTGGAATAATGCTAAAAGCAGAGTAAATGCAAACTCACTCACTCTCAGCTTGCCTTATTGTAATTAAAGTGGTCCCTGTCTGTGTTTTTCCGATAACTTTGTGCATTATAATCTTCAAATGTTTTTTGATATAATTTCGAACATCCCCTAAATTTCGTGAATGGTATATAATGTGACTAGATATGATATCGCCTCGCTGGGATTCCAGTTTGAACAGCTCCCACGCACATTATGCTGGTCACGAGATGCGACTTACAATTAATGTTTCACGTGATTACATTCGGTAACATGATTGGTTGCGTGTCAAATTACCCTGCGGCGTGTTTCGTTGTTTATGTTATCAGTCACTGGATTATCTGACCGGATTCGATCATTTATTGGTCTGCATCATACTTGGAATACTGTAGATCATCCCCCGAACAAAGGGGATATTCTATATGCTTACATGTCTTGACGTGAAAGAGTGAGTGAGTGAGTATGTTTTCGCAATATTCCAGCAATATCACGGCGGGGGACACCAGAAATGGGCTTCACACATTGTATCCATATGGGGAGTCGAACCCGGTTCTTCGGCGTGACGAGCGAACGCTTTAACCACTAACTATCGCGCCTGGGGTGAACGATATATTTGAACGAACAATAAAGGATAGACCGATGCTTACACAATAACCGGTCAGCCATTGGTAAGTAGATGAGGCCATCTTACAACAAACACTAGATCAGATGTCCGGGGTTGGGGGGGGTTATCTGAAAAGGGCGACAACTCTTACTCGCACATATGTGTGGCCATCAAGTGATTATCCCACAAGTCATACTTGAAGAAACATACAATCGCTGTACCCAGCTAAAATTTCAAGTTGTCACAACGATGTCACAACATTATACTTTCGTCGTTACAACGTTATTCTGTGGACTCCCATTTACGTTGTCACATCGTCGTGGCCTGACGTTGTGATACGTCATTTTTACGTCACCACAAGGTTAAAGTAATTGAATGCTAACGTATTTTACGTTGTCTTATCGTCCTATGTAACGTTAATAGTTTTCCTAGTAGTTCATTCGTCAATTTGCATGTTGTTTTGTCCGTGTGTTTTCTGAAGTTGTTGCTGAATAGTGAAGAGAGACTCTCAAAGTGAAAAGTTTTACAGAAACCACCAACTTATAAGAAACGTTGTCATTACGTTGTGACATAAAAATGACGTTATACTAACGTTGTGACAAAGTTGTGTCATGACGTTACCTATTGCCGATGTGACGTTAAATATTAACTCACTCACTCACTCATGACGTTACCAATCTACAACCTTCCCACATCGCTGCGAAAACATGGTGTGCTGGGTAGGTGCCTATCGAGTGAAAACACAATTGGAGGTAAGGCAGGCTTAATTTACAATTGGTTTACCATGAAGACGCCCGTCTTACATGACCTTCATTGATGGAGTTGTTAAGCTGTCCTGAACAATGTCTCGTATCGTTCTTCTTGAATGTGCAAATGGTTTCGAAGGAGGATATCAAGCTATCAAAATGACACACATGACGCTCTGAAGAACTGGTTTCGATCCCCGGGCATTCCCTCGCTGAATGAGTGAGTGAGTGAGTTTGGTCTTAGGCCGCATTTAGCAATATTCCAGCAATATCACGGCGGGGACACCAGAATGTGGGCTTCACACATTGTACCCATATGGGGAATCGAACCCGGTTCTTTGGCGTGACGAGCGGACGCTTTAACTACTCTGGGGTGAACGATATATTTGAACGAACAATTAAGGATAGACCGATGCTTACACAATAACCGGTCAGCCATTGGTAAGTAGATGAGGCCATCTTACAACAAACACTAGATCAGATGTCCGGGGTGGGGGGGGAAGGTTATCTGAAAGGGCGACAACTCTTACTCGCACATATGTGTGGCCATCAAGTGATTATCCCACAAGTCATACTTGAAGAAACATACAATCGCTGTACCCAGCTAAAATTTCAAGTTGTCACAACGATGTCACAACATTATACTTTCGTCGTTACAACGTTATTCTGTGGACTCCCATTTACGTTGTCACATCGTCGTGGCCTGACGTTGTGATACGTCATTTTTTACGTCACCACAAGGTTAAAGTAATTGAATGCTAACGTATTTTACGTTGTCTTATCGTCCCATGTAACGTTAATAGTTTTCCTAGTAGTTCATTCGTCAATTTGCATGTTGTTTTGTCCGTGTGTTTTCTGACGAGAGTTGTTGCTGAATAGTGAAGAGAGACTCTCAAAGTGAAAAGTTTTACAGAAACCACCAACTTATAAGAAACGCTGTCATTACGTTGTGACATAAAAATGACGTTATACTAACGTTGTGACAAAGTTGTGTCATGACGTTACCTATTGCCGATGTGACGTTAAATATTAACTCACTCACTCACTCATGACGTTACCAATCTACAACCTTCCCACATCGCTGCGAAAACATGGTGTGCTGGGTAGGTGCCTATCGAGTGAAAACACAATTGGAGGTAAGGCAGGCTTAATTTACAATTGGTTTACCATGAAGACGCCCGTCTTACATGACCTTCATTGATGGAGTTGTTAAGCTGTCCTGAACAATGTCTCGTATCGTTCTTCTTGAATGTGCAAATGGTTTCGAAGGAGGATATCAAGCTATCAAAATGACACACATGACGCTCTGAAGAACTGGTTTCGATCCCCGGGCATTCCCTCGCTGAATGAGTGAGTGAGTGAGTTTGGTCTTAGGCCGCATTAAGCAATATTCCAGCAATATCACGACGGGGGACACAAGATGTGGGCTTCACACATTGTACCCATGTGGGGAATCGAACCCGGGTCTTTGGCGTGACGAGCGGACGCTTTAACTACTGGGCTACCCCGCCGCCCCCACTCCCTGAATGCACAGAATTAAGGCATTGTAAACAAGAGAAATAGGTTACGGCTGCTTTAACCGCCACACTGACCAATTAATGTGAACTGGTCGGCAACAAACGTCCAATAATGACCTTTGCCCATTGTCACACGTCGAGCTTAGCGCAAGGACTATCGTACGTGTAAACATACGGTTACCTCCCTTTGTGTTCCTTGTTTCTGTTTATTCTTCATTATAGCGAGTGTGAGAGTGAGTTTTGTTTTACGCCGCTTTTAGCAATATTTCAGCAATATCACGGCGGGTGATAATAGAAATGGGCTTCACACATTGTACCCATGTGGGGAATCAAACCCAGGTCTTCGGCGTGAAGAGCGAACGCTTTAACCACTAGGCTACACCACCGCCCCATTCTTCCTTATAACACGATATACCAAATATACGCAATCTCTTTATTTGTTTGTACACACATGCAATTTGAAATCAGTCAAATCTTGGAACAATATCTGGTTGAACTTAAAAAATACAGTTTGTATAAAAATCATATATACATGTCTCATTCAACATAACAAATTGTCCAACAACTGACTTAATTTAAATCAACATTCTTTGGCATCACGGAGATGCGGACCTTAGCCTTTCGTCCTTAACTTTATTTCTACGAAACAAGTTATGGAATGGGAACAGGTGCCCCCTTGCCTGCTTCGAGTAAGCCATGTACATGATGTCACCGATCAACACACAGATGAATGATATTATCACCAGGTAACCGAACACCTCGGTCTGAGGGAAGCTCACGACCAGGGCGAACTTCAGCATGTCTGCGAGTCTGTTGAGTGAGTTCTGAACGCCATTCACGATGCCACGTTCATTCTCAGCCACGTGCTCAAGAAACAGCTGCGTGATCGTCAAATCAGCTATCCACAAACCTGGAAATATTTAACAGGATATTGTACATCGGTTCATTAAGTTCAAGGACAGTAAAATAACCAAAAGGAATGTGTTATCGCGCAGTTAGGTAAACTATGTCACGTGAAAGATATTGAATTTAGTATTATGAATAGCTTCGGATTGAATGACGTTTTTGCATATAACCACGAGCTAATATTACTAAAATGTATCCTATGCCTCGTTTTGTGAAAATCCGATCTTAATACACGTAATCTTTTTATACCGTTGCTTTGCATTATTGTTTTAAACATAATATTATAAAATTTATTGCACAAAAATCAGTATGCATGTTATAATTAAGTTCTTTCTTACCCTCACAAGGTTGGGACGTTTTATAGGATGATGGTAAACATGAATGGAAGACGTTGATGTTTTATACTCAACTAATGGATTTGTCAAACGCAAGTGTAATATCCCTTTGCTAATACATTTTCCGCCCGTGAAGATCCGGGTTAGAATTTATCTTCAGTAACCCATGCTTGTCGTAAGAGGCGACTAACGGGATCGGGTGGTCAGGCTCGTTGACTTGGATGACACATGTCATTGTATCCCAATTGCGTAGATCGATGCTCATGATGTTGATCACTGGATTGTCTGCTGCAGACTCGATTTGTTTACAGACCGCCGATATATGGCTGGTATATAGCTGATATGAGTGCGGCGTAAAGCTAAACTTACTGACTCTTTCTTATTCGTTTTATAGGATGATGGTAAACATGAATGGAAGACGTTGATGTTTTATACTCTGCTAATGGATTTGTCAAAAGTAAATATCCCTTTGCTAATACATTATCCTTTAGCTGACAAAGTCGAAAAGCCATACATTCGCACCACAATTTCAGTTGTCTTACCAAATCTTGCTGTGACAATTCCCGCCATCAACAACGTGACAGAAACGACGTCTGCAGTTATGGGTGGATCTCCTCCACCCGATGCAGCCTTTGGGGTCACAGTGGATTCACTGACGTTACTGGTGATGTGAAACGTCCAGTTGACCCCTGTGGCGTTAGGTGAAGCTGGACGATCCCAGAAGTACCAGGGCTCAAAGGGACTTCCGGGTGTCCATACTGACACAACACACATCATCAAGCAGGCGATCTGGGAACTCATAGCAAACAGACCCGTCCTCTCAAGCCCAATGCGACGTCGCATAACGGGGTAGATGAGCGTGCCGATGATGCCGACCGCAGCCCCTGTTGCCGTTGCGAGACCAAGGGCACCTTCAGATACCCCTTGCGTGTATGCGTAACCTGTAAAATGGGATATGAGGGACCAATGAAATTTTCTGAGAAATGTGTCTCTTCATCATATATATCACATAGATAATTATTATTTGGTTTACTGTAGTATAAACACGCGTTTGGACATGAATATATTTCCTAATCCCTGACCGATGCCCAGCGGGTTCGCTAAACGAGAAAAAACACGGAGCTTGTTTAACAATACGATCTAACACATATGGTGTCCTATAATTGCCATCGCGTGGCGCGTAAAAAAAGAACTACGTCGTGGGCGACTGTCAAAAGCAACTTAAACCTCACACATGTATCTTGAAATGTGTTTAAATCCATAGATCAGTATTATATCTACCTAAATGCCACATTGTGATGTTAAAAAGAAAACTGGGTCTATAAAGTGGTATTTAGATAGATATAACTACATGTATATTCATTGGATGTAAACAGAATCTAAGATTCATCTGTGAGACTTCAAGATACATGTGCGAGGTTTAAGTTGCTTTTGACAGCTCCGGCCAAGTGGGCCAACAGAAACTTAACACTTTTGATTGAGGCTATGTTGAAAATAGAGAGTGAGTGAGTGAGTGAGTTTAGTTTTACGCCGCACTCAGCAATATTCCAGCTATATGGCGGCGGTCTGTAAATAATCGAGTATGAACCAGACAATCCAGTGATCAACAGCATGAACATCGATCTGCGCATTTCGGAACCGATGACATATGTCAACCAAGTCAGCGAGTCTGACCACCCGCTCCCGTTACGACAAGCATGGGTTACTGAAGGCACTTTCTAATCCGGACCTTCACGGGTGAAAATGGAGAGAGAAAGGGTCTGACCACCCGCTCCCGTTACGACAAGCATGGGTTACTGAAGGCACTTTCTAATCCGGACCTTCACGGGTGAAAATGGAGAGAGAAAGGGGCTGGAAAAGTGATATATAGGTAGATGTAATACTAATCTGTGAATTAAAACGCAATTCAAGATACATGTGTGAGGTTTAAGCTGCTTTTGACGGCCCGAGGTATGCCGGACCGAACAATAGTGGCGGTGATTATGTTTAGAGTGTGGGGAAGAGATCGTTTCATTTGCAGATGGGTATGCCTTACATACAATGAACAGTGGCCTTCTAGGGTGGTATTTGATTGGATACAGGTGTAAAAACATTTTCGGGTGGACAGAAATGTTTATCGGGAGGACTGAAGCATTTTTTGCGTTTTAAATCCTGTTTCGTTTAACGATTCTTCTTTTAGACGTAACCTTGGTCAGCCACGTTCAGAGGCCGATAACCACTCGATATAGTCCGACGTCGCCTGCGACGTCGACCACGACGTCGCTCACGAGGTCGCCCATGACGTCGTCCACGACGTCGTTCACGACGTCGACCACGACGTCGTTCACGACGTCGACCACGACGTCGCCCGTTATTTTGTAGCCAAAATATATTTTACAAAGCGCGACGTCGTCTTTTTTATGCGACGTCGTGGGTCGTGTTCTATGGGCCGAACAGACTGCACACTTTTGATTGAGGCTATTTTGAGGGTGGGCAGACAAGGGCTTCACTTTAACGGAGCAGTTACCTTTACATGTGGCATTTTGTAACATTTCAATGTGATATGTAGGTAGATATAATACTAATCTATGGATTTAAGCACAATTAATGATACACCTTTGAGGTGTTAGGTGCTTTTGACGACTCGAGCCAATCCGGACCGAACGCTTGTGACACAGTGTGTTTGTTGAGAATATATAGAAATGAAGGCTTCACTTCGAGCAACGTGTTTGCTTAAAATACTACGCTTTGCGACTCTATAAAGAAGTATTTAGGTACTAGTAGATATAATACCATTTTGCCTTTCAAGTGTACTAGCAAATTTAAGCATATGCATGCGCGCTGGCTATCGGATTTGGGATGGTATTGTTTACGGTTTAGAATAAGAATGTGTGTGTGTGTAAATGTATACTTTCTTTGATCCTTTATAACATATTACAAAAGGTTGTGATTTAGTATATTTCTTTTAACATATATAATCATGTCACAATTTCCCATATAATATGGGGAGCAAATTATTTCGAAGCCATTGAAAATGTCCATGCATCTTATTTTAAAAGATTTCTTACAGAAGGTATATTTGCTTCCAATAAAGCCATACTTGGCGAAACAGGATGCTATAACATGCATATTGAGAGTCAAATGAGAGTTATTAGATACTGGATTAAACTTATAAGAATGCCTGATTATCGCTACCCCCATCAAAGCTGTCAAATATTGTTATCACTGGATAAATGTGGAAAGTATTCATGGGCTTCAGATGTGAGAAATATGTTATTTTCAAGCGAGTTTTCTCATGTTTGATTTAAGCAAAATGTTGGTGATATAAAAACGTTTTGTCAACATTTAAACAACGAATAAAATATATATATTCAGAGTTGGTACGCATCAGTCAATTCATCCAGTTTTCTTAGTCATTATTCACAATGTAAATCGATGTTCGGACCTGCAAAATATGTCAGTGTTCTTAAAGTCCCTTTTAAGAATTTTTTTGCAAATTTAAAATCTCTCTTCATGCCTTAAAAATACAAAGTTTTAGAAAATATAATAATATATTGGAAGATTTATCATGTTCTTATTGTTCTTCTAGTAAAACTGAAGACGAACGACACTTATTATTAGTCTGTAAGACTTTCTCTGCCTGCCGAAAGAAGTATTTAAAATGCACTAATGATGCCCCACAAACGATATTCAATGTACTTAATTCTAAAAATGCTGATATTATTAAATCTGTTGACATTTTCATTAAACATTTGATGTCCATCCGTAAATCACATGTAAAATCATAATTTAATGTCACGTGACCAATAGTTGTAATTGAGTAACTTCAATTGTACTCTGGGCCACTGGGCCTTAACTACTAAATAAAGCCTGTGTGACTGTCTGTCTGTCATTGTCCAGGTACTCCATCAATGTCGGGTGGTTATTTGCAAGCCTGAACTTCAAGGTATCTAGTCGTTCCTCCAAATCTCTGTACTTCTATTTGGGGACAGTCTTTGGCCGGCATTGTACTGAAGCATCTTTGCCTCGTTCAGTCCTTGTTCATCTTCCAGGAACTTGGCCATCTCGAATAGGGTGGGATGTTGTTTTACCACAACCTTCATGAGACGGCCATGCCAATTGCAACCCCGGAGGTTGTTGTTTGTGCGGGGGCCGTCAGTATTTTTGGTACAGTCGAAAAGATTCCCTTTGACTTCGCTGTGTACAGGTCCGTGGTTGTGGTCTCCAGGTATTTGGGAAATTATGTCGTTCACTGTTAAGACTGATATGCAGTCGTTCTGAATGCATCTCCACGAGATCCATTTTCCCCTTTTCTTCTTGTTCACAATAAACATATAACCATTTACATATATGTATGTTCCACCACGAGAAGTATAAAGAAACCTATTGTGCATTTTTCATATCTGAATTTCTGGAAATGATGATGAAAACTGTCAATTCCAACATTCTTATAGCTTGCACGTTTATGTAAGAAATTGAATAATTCACTTCTAATGAACTGAGTGAACTAAACTCACTCACTAAACCCGCTGGTTCACATGTCAACCCGCTGGTACAAAAGTCATATTTCGTTTCCTGAGTGGAGACATTTTACATTTTGTAGAAAAACAGTGTATTGATCCCTTAAAACAACACCGTTTTCACAACATCAAACATCAACTAAATTTGAAAGATTTTTTACTTAAGGTGTTCTGGCGCTAACCCCTCGATTGGTTTACTTAAATAAGTAGTAATGTTGAACATGAAATCAGTGATTAGAGATCAATAGCAGTACAACTGCACCACAAAAGGTTATTCCCCGATTTTCCAATATAACAATTTCTAAACACGACGTCGCCCGCGACGTCGTAGGCGACGTCGGCTTCGACGTCGTGGGCGACGTCGCCTTCGACGTCGTGGACGACGTCGATTTTGTATTTTTGTCGTAGATCATTCTTGTGTATTTCTGCACGACGTCGTGGACGACGTCTTACACGACGTCGTGGTCGACGTAGTCTTTTTTATGCGACGTCGTGGGCGACGTCGCCCACGACGTAGTTCTTTTTTTACGCGCCACGCGATGGCAATTATAGGACACCATAAACACAGACTGATGACGATTTAGAGGATCGTGGCAGTAGTGACTTTGTTTTTTCATAAAATAAGCTTCAGGCGAGAAACATTTTTGTTTCAGAATCTCCGCTCAGCTATTTACCAATGCATCTGAGTCATTGAGTATTCAAGTGAACAGAGGGTATAGTAATTAATCATTTTATTGAAATGCATTCAAGTATGTGTACGTTGCCTCCAGGCAACCTTAAGGTATATTATGCTTTATTATCTTGCCATGTTGGATGAATAAGAAACACCAGGGATACTCTACAACAGAGTCTCCCTGGAAACACAAATGAAAAGCTTACAAGTGTTGGACCTTGAGAATTTTATTGAAATGCATTCAAGTATGTGTACGTTGCCTCCAGGCAACCTTAAGGTATATTATGCTTTATTATCTTGACAGGTTGGATGAATAAGAAACACAAATGGAAAGCTTACAAGTGTTGCACCTTGAGAAAATAGTGTTGGTAATATTGCCGTACGTGAAAACTACACAAACTCGATCACCAATCCAAGGACTCTCCGCCCAACGTTGCTTACTTGATTTGTGACTCGAGCTCTATGCTCTATGCACAGGACCACAGCACCAAAAACCGGATAGTAAACCATTGAAATAAACGTAAATACAGTAGGAAATACATGACATGACCGGATTTACGTATGTTTTCAGATATTTCCTAACTTCGGGCATATATTTCATATGAATCTATACCTTTGAAACATATGCTCATCGTACATTTTCGTATGCACAAGCACCTCGTTCATGTATGCCCTGACCGGATTGTCGGGGATTTCCAAATATGAATTGCAAAACAGATACCCCGGTAAATACATGATCATACAGTATTTCCAATGCATTCCTTTGAAT